ATGTAGAGGGCATGAATGAAGAATGGACTGCAGAGGGAAAAACAGGGCAGGTGGGACCCTGCAGACGTGGAAGGAGCCTTGCTGTCCTGTCCTCCCGGCAGGGTCTCAGCCAGAAGACAACTTGCCATTGCTGGGACCACACTGATCCCAGGCAAAGGGCTGCTAAAGAGCTGATAGAAAAGCCAGGTTGGATATAACCATGGGGTGATGGCAGATGACAAAAGGGGACTCTGCAGAGGCACTTCACAACTAACAGCAGTGACGGGGAAACCAACTAAATCCTTGTCACTTGACAGGTTTTCTGCTTTTCCAAACAGCAGCTGCTGCCTGGTGCTGCAGCTGGTTGTGCTCATTTCCAAGCAGCTGCTACACTGACAGTACTCATACTAGGTGTGCAAAAGTAATCCTCAAACTTTATTTGCCATCAGGAACTTAATTTTCTGAATGCTCCATCATCCTAACAAGTGATGGAAGGTTGTTGCATTACTACAGACTAGCTGAAGGGACAGACATTGCAGTTCATTAATGAGCAGCGATACTTTGATTGTGGTATAACTCTTATTAAAATAATTCTATTGAATTTCACTCTGAGGGAGCCTGGGAGGGAAGACGAAATTACAGTGTTTCTTCAAAGAACAACATCATGTAAAAAAAGACCTAATTTTTTCTTCTAATAAATGTAGAGCGAGGCACAACCTTTGGCCTCTTTAGTGGGAAAATCTCCCCTTAACATGACATTTGTTATTTGCTATGTAACTGCCATAGGCATTGCTAGGCATAATAGAGTAATTTACATCATGTACATGATGCAATGGGGAAGTGGTAAGGTCATCACCAGCACAGGTATTTTCATTCCAGTCCCAAATTATCACAAGTCTGGACAAATCAAGACGTGACTTCTGTCATGTCATTTGTGTCAGTGTGGTGTAAAGAGACTACGACCAGTATTAGGGCTGCGCCACTTTTGGTGTTGCCCAAACGTGGCAGTAGTGGGAGAACAGGTCCAGCCCCAAAGAGCTCAAAACCAACCTGCTTCTTCCTCTGTGAAGTGGTAATAAAGCCTCCTTAGCTCCTTTGTGTAAGGATGTGATGGAGATTAATTAATTCTGGAACATTGTCTGAAGAGCAGCCTGGGCATTAATAGTTTTATCACATAGCCCATTTCCTACCAGAATCTACATCCTTTCTCTCTCAAGTGCCTGTTTCCTGGATATTAAAGCACTTTGCTAACTTTGGGATCATGTTCTGACATCCTCGTTCGCATCGATTTCTGTTTGCTCCGTGAGTAATTCAGCTGGAGTCGATAGGATGATTAGCACAGCCCCGATCATGGGCACGGGGACATGAATAACTTCACTCATGTGACTAGTGCCATTGATTTCAGAGGGATTGGTCATATGGGTAAAATTGCATGCTCGAGTGTTTGCAGGCTTCGGATCCAGTCAAGTGTTACCTGTGGTGAATAAGGATTGGACAATTTGTCCCTAAGCCATTTGCAGGAGTCACTTCCTCCAGTGGTGGAGCGTGACGCAGCATCACGTAACACCAGTAAGCAATGCCATGGAACCCACAGTGTCACACTTACCCGTCAGGCTTCGTCTATGAGATGTGACATTGTCTCTAAATGACCTCAAGACCACAATACAGATCTGTTGTTTCCCAAAGCAGGGCATTTCTGGCCCGCTGATCTTATCTTCATTTTAAAAACAAACTGATTTTAACTGTCTTCCATCTCTGAAGCCCTCACAACAGCAAAACTCACACAGCTGTTCTGGAGAAGTATCTAAACTTGGTAAATGCCGATTGTGTGTTTTGTGTGTGTGCAAACTTCAGGGCTAAGTACAGTGAAATGTTCTCTGAGGGCCTAGAAGGCTCCGAGCAGTGCTGTCGCTGGCACTGCTTAGTAGGAATTAATGAGAAAACAAAGCCGAGGGGCTCCGTGTCCTCCCAAATCGATCCCTATGGGACTCTGGCTGCTGCTGGACAGGAGGGCTGGTGCACAGAAGGAAATTGTTTTGCTAAGGCAAGTACGGGAGACCACTCTATTCCCCACTCCTTTAATTGGATCAATCCTCCCCAGTATGATGTGAAATACAGGACGTGTTCAGAGACTGCTAGCTAATAAATATCATCTAGCCATTACATCATGGTGCCCACCTCCTAGCCAGGGCAAAAGCAAAGCCCTGGGGAGCGCAACAGAGATTACGGCTCCGACATCCAGCCCATGTACGTGCAGGGGGCTCAAAAAGGCTGGAGGTGTTTCCTCAAACACCTATTGACTGCCTGGCTAATATGTTCAGCAATCTCCCATCCAGAAAATGCCTTTATTCTCCTTAGCTGTGATTTGTAGTTGCTATGTGTAAATAAGGCGTTATTAGTTGTACTGCTGTTCAAGGCCATGCAATGGCTGTGTCTTGTCTCCAGGGAGCTTCTCACATGCGGCATATGGCAGCAATTGATCAATGACTCTGATCCCGTCCTTGTGCTTAACCCAGTCCTCTGCTTATCTCTGAGTGTTGGTAGGGCATCCTTCAAAATGTGGAGAAAGAAAGGGAAGATGGCTGGGTCACCAGACATCATAAATAGAGAATATGTTTCTAAAACCTGTGTTGAATATGATGGGGGTGGTGATGGAGAGCCTTGGAATAGGTCTCCAGCAGAAATGGTGACACATGGTTTGCTGTCAAGTTTTTTGGGCATATGCTGGTTCACCCCAGCTTGACTCCATCTCCCTTGGAGTAGTAACCTCACCCTTGGCTTGCCTGGTAGGGCAGCAGCTAGCAAAGACAACGACAAAAAAACCTGGTCTGTAACAAGGTCTGTAAACTCACTTAGCATGGAACAGCTTAATAAGTACAGCTGCTGTATTTCACTGCAGAAGGGGTCGTGGCTAGGGCAGAGAGAGATTTGAGTCCCAGCCATTACCAGAACAATGGGCAATGGTCATGAGTTTCAGCAAAGGAAATTTATACTGGTCATATGAACAAATTATTCATTAAAAACATCTAAGCTCTTGAACAGGGATCTAGATTGACTGTGGAGTCTCCGTCCTTAGAGATATTCAAAACTCACCTGGACGAGGCTGGGAAGCAATCTGATCTGCCTTTGAAGGTGACCCCACTTTGAGTGGGTAGTTGAACTAGAGAGCTCCAGAGGTCCATTCTAGCCCGAATTATTCTCTGATTCTGCGTAATCACTGACTTGTTAAACCACTAATGGGGACTTATTCCTGTACCAGACTGCAGGATAAATTTGAATTACAATAATTAACCCAGAGCTATGCAGAAACGTAGGGTAAGTGACTCACCCCAGTCATTCAGGAAATCGGTGGCAGAGAAGACACTCTCCAGAATCTTAGGAAAATGCTCTTCCCTAGGTGGAAAAATAAGAACATTAAAACACAATTTCCAGCTGCTTTTGGGCTACATCTGCCCTGGCTCAAAGGTGTTTTTAGCTTCCTCTTCACTGCATGTCAGTGGGGACAGCACGGAGCAGCTCTGCACAGAAGAGAAAGGGTGGAGCTGAGTGCTCTGATCCAGGCGTCCGTGGGCAGGCTAAGCTGACGAGCTCTAGGCACTGATTAGGAGCCACAAACAATACTTGGGACTCCTCCAGCCCCTGGAAATGATGCATAAAATCCCACTTGCATATGACTGTAGGAAAACTTGTTCCTTCTACCTGGGCAGCTGCCGGCAGACGCCTCGGTGTAATTTTGCATCCAGTGTGTGGTGGTGAGCGAAGCAAGAGGAGAGACTTCCCACGGTCCCACCCCCAGCTGGACTCTGCCCTCCCCTGCCTTCCTCTGCCAGCACTCTCCTGCTGCCTCCGCTCCCTCCTTGGAGCCCGGTTTGACATCGCGCGCGCCGGAGGCTCCTGGATGAGCAGGGATCCCCGCTGGGGTGGCGAGGCCCCCCATCCTTCCCGACGCCTGACACCTCTCCCCGAGCCCCACGCTGGATCATGCAGTGCTTCCGAAGGCAGCCCAAGCGCAGCGTGTCCCAGGAAAACATCCTACGGGAGCAGAGCCGTAGAGTGGCCGCGTTGAACGGCATCAGGCTGGGTAAGGGACAAGTCGGCCAGACCCTCGGCACTTCCACACGCTGGCAGCTGCTTCATTTCTGCCTCCTCCACGCGCAGAGGCAGTGCTCCACCCTAAAGGCAACTCCAAGGTTATTTTTAACTCCTGAGGTTTCTTTTCCTTTCCTTTGCCTGTAACCACCCGCCAGATGTATAAACCGCTTCATTTAAGGCATCAGAGAAAGTGGGACCTCTTTGGCAAAGGGTCGGTGTACAAATCTCTTTTTTCTGGGTTTTCTGAACTGTCTCTGGTTGAGGGAGTTTGGGGAAGGCAGTGCCCTTTTCCTGCCTGATTTTAGGACTTCTCAGTGGTGTGTTGCCAGTTGCTATAAGAGCCCGAGGAACCACTCAGAGGTCTGCATTCACCAGATGAAAAGAAACAGGAAACCCAGGGAGTTTCATAACTTCTGTGTCTGGCTATGAACTCATTGCTGGTTCCTGCTGCCTGGAGAGACAGCCCAAATCGCCTGATTTCCTTGGCTACAGAGGGCAGGTGGAAATGGAAAATCACCGTTTACTCACCTGAGTTCTTTAGATTTTATCAGAAAGGCTTTCTGCCATTTTAAACCAGCAAATCTGAGTTATGTCTGGTCTTAAACCAGGTGGGAGAGGGAGAGCAGGCAGGAGGAGGCTTGTTTTATAGCAGTTGTAATTAACGTGTTTATATCAGATCAGCAGATTTGTGAGTGAGCAATGCAGAAATATGGACTATCACTGTCTTCTATAGATATCATCCTAACTGTCTCCTTAGTGAACTCAGAGCCTGGCTTCTACCATGACAGCTATTGTTTTATTGTCGTTCCTGCTTGCTGTAAACCTGAGACACATAATACAACGGTTAACATTTTTGATGTCTTGTGTCTAAAGCTTCATAGTGCAGTATATTAACTTCATGGTTATTGCAGTGCTGTGTGTGCTTGAGGTGCTCCTACCTTTGCCAAACATGATTTTCACTCTGAACATGACTGCACACTAAATATATTCTGTCTACAAAGTGTGTGATTGATATTTTGTGAGGAGGGGGGGCCTGGCCCTTGAAACGCACTCTGCAATTTCGCATGCCAAGTATCTATTTGGTATTTCACAGAGGACGCTAAGAAAGACACAGTCCTGCCACATGCAGGATTGGACATCTATTTCAGTGTGGTGATTGTGCTTCTCATGCCTAGTGTTGCTATATAGTTGGAAAGCAATATCCTTGTCCTGCCGCACAGTGTTTTTTAATTTGTAAATCGTGTATGTGTATGATGACTCTGGTTTCTTTCATACAAGTTTCCATTACTGTGAGATGGAGCTCTGGACAGCAAACCTCCTCTGCTCCGTGGGGTTGTTAGGCAGAAATCCTCAGGTGCTGGTTCAGGCATAAAACCTGAAAGTGAGGTTTCTGGTGGGAAAAGGTGGGTTTTAACTAGAAAGCAATTCAAATGACCAACTGAGAGTAATGTCCCACTGGCACATCAGGGGTGCGTTTGTGGTTCTTGTATCAGCAGATCAGAGCGTCTTCTGCTCCATCTCTGGCCTAACAAAATGCTGATGCTTTGTAGATAGCAATAGAGAAGCTAAGTGACTCACCCAAGGTCATTTAAGGAGTCTGTGGCAGTGCTTGAACTGGGCATAGGAGGCAGGGCCTAAAACACTGGTCCTCTTTCCCAGCCAGTTTAGCTGTCTGAGCTTGAACTGCTGCTAGACAAACACAGAGCAGGCCTGAAACAGGCTGTGCCCACCCGGTTAGGAGTATGCCCCCCTCCTTCCTTCAGGCCCACCGTTGGGTGGTTCAGTCAGTACTTGGGGTCACCACCGGCAGAGGTCAACTGTGGGTGACTGCTCTCTATCTGAAAGGTCTCCCACATCAAAGGAATGATGGAGCTGTTAGACACCCATGATTAGCCCTCTCGCCCTTTCCTGGCCAAACCCGGTCTCCTTGAGGCAAGCTTGTCTCCATACCCTCCCTGGCTTCTCTCGCTGCCCTCTGACTCATGCTCCCTACCATCTTTGATCTTTGCCATGCTTTCACCACGCACCATCCCTCTTCATCTTTCCCTCATGCTCTTGTGAAGTGCAGTGGCATCCTTTGCTGAGTCATTTAACCTGGCCTGGTCCTCAGGCACAGTGGCCAAGGATGAGTAGGAGGGCTGCTCCCAGCCCATAGTTAGATCCTCTGAAGAGGAAGGGGAGCTTTGACCCACACTAATGCACTGACTGGGCTGTGCCGGTGAGCAGGATGAAGGGCTCTGAGTGCCAGCTTGTGTCTGACATATGGATCAAGCCTGGAGGAATCTGCCCTTGACTGCTGCCCGTGCCCATCCAGATTTGCCTGTATTACATTGGTGCAGCTTTTTGGGATGTCCAGGTAGCACGACACTTTACATATGTTGCATACAGTGTCTGTGTGACAAAACATGCTACAGTTAATGGGGATTTCTCATTACACACATGCATATAGGCATCCAAAAGTATTAATGGTTTTCCTCCTCATGTCACCTGAGGATGGCATGTCCTCCTCCTAGTCCTGTAATGATGCCTTGCATGGTTGAGATCTAAAGAAAGAGAGGGAAGGAGGCTGGGAGCCAGAACACAAGTGTGGGTGAACAGAGAGAAGGAAGAAGTTTGTTTCCTCTCCAGGATCCTTGAGGGGTACCGCAGCGATATTAGTGAGGCTGAAGTCAATGGTATCTTCTCTGCGCTTGGAAGACCTTTGCCTCAGAGAGGAAGCCTCAACACCACAACTCAGGAGCCCAAGGACCTGTGAAGCTGTTGTGGTCTCTGTCCTTCCTCTGGATGGTCTGGCCTCTTGCCAACCCCTGGGTATGCTTGAACCTCAGCAAACCCAGGAGACTGTCCCAGATCACATAGCTGGGGTCAATCTTTCACCATTCCATGCTTTGTAGGAGATGGCTTTTTTTCTTCTCTCTGTGAGAGGACAAAAAGTGTTTCTGAGGTTTCCAGAGAAAGCATTCAAATTCTCCTCTTGGGAACCTCCAGACCAGACATGAGCTGAGAGGCCCAGGGGATGCTGTAGCATGGGAAGACACTTAATTAATGAGATAGCTAATTGAATGTAGAGGAAAGAGAGAGGCCACAGCCACCTTTTCAGGATCTCCAGCTCCCACTGAAGTGCTTTCAACTCTGGGTGCCTCAGCCAGGCTCAGCTCTGGGCATGCTCCTTGGCATCTGCAAAACCAGTAAAGTGATGTGAGCGGCTCACTGAGTGGACACTGGACACCCCTAATATTATCTCTGACAGAGATCTCAGGCTTTCTTTCAGAACCTAAAATGCTCTCTCCAGGCCAACGTATTCCAGTTACAAACACATGGTGCTGCTTTTTGCTGCTGCCATCGTGACCCACCGTGGTGGTTTGCAGCACCTGGCACTTCAGTTTCTTGTATGAATTGTCTGAGATTTTGGCCATTGGATCTCGTGCTGGGTTTGTTTCTCAAGCAGGCCTGAAGTGATGCTTGGTAGTTTATTGCCTTGCGCTGTTCAAAAATCAACAATTCGAGGCAGCTATGTCTTCCAGAGAAGAACGAACCCAATGTGACAGGGGAATGCCACGCTGCAATATACATCCATTAACTTGGATTTCTGCTTTGTGAACCCCCACGTTAAGTTTACATAATGTCAGAAAATTTCCCATGATGTGTCAGGTGTCTGCAAGTGGCCGAGTGGTTGTCTGCATTGTCAAAATAAGGTTAGCAAAAACCCCGCTGAGTTGGGATGTGCTTGGTCAGTACTACAGAGTTAAATGCTGTTTCACCAGCTTCGAACAAGCCTTTCATGCAGTGTCAGAGATGCAAGGTGCCTATTACAGAAAGCCCCGGATGTGTTTCTCATGTTTCATGCTCTCACCCTCTCCAGCCCACATGCTCCAGATCTGTAATTAATGGTTGGCTTGAGGAACAGATTCTCCAAGGTGTTTAGGTATGTGGAAGTCATATACTGCGGAGACATTCAAAACCATGTAGAATGCCAAATCTGTTTTCAAAGCCTCAGTAGTTGCCTGTTGCCTCTCTAGATGTCCAAGTGCCTTCCTGAATCTAGCCTAAGATGTGAAACCTGAAGTTCCTGGAACCAGAAGGTCTGGTTATTATTACTTGGCATTGTGGTGGTCTAGTAGGGTAAGAAGATAAAGGTCCTCTTGGATACTAGCTGGGCAATGAGGAAAGCACAGATGCTACCTTATTGATGTGATGCTGCCTGTCACCAAACTATCTGTGTATGTCCTAGGCTTCATGACACTGATCTTCAAAATTCCCATGTGGATAGGAGGGGACTGTTGCCAGAGAAGGAAGAGAGATATCTTTGTGTATTCCTGTTTCCACAAAGGAAATTTGTTGCAGAATAGATTTAAAATCACTTGAAAGTTCCTGACAGTACTCCAATTAGAAGTTATACAACTTTCTTTCCTTTGCTTTTACTGTTACATTGCTGGTTTTGTTGTTGGTTTTGCATCCTAACATTAGATTATATTTGCTGGGAAGAAGATATTTTATGTTTGTAAACCACCTGAGAATGATTGTAGGAAAGCCTTTGGACTCAATCTAAGAACTCTACAAGGCTCCAGCCTCTTTTGTGAACATGAAGTGTGGCATGGCAGATTTCTGGGTGTCTCTGCTCTGCCGTCCTCCCCACACCTGGCTGCACTGCAGTGGTCTGTCTGTGTCTGTGATTAGTGTCCTGTGGAAGAGAAGACATTTCTTGAGCTGACTCTTAAAACCTTACCACTACTGTTTCTCTGCAGGCCTGAAAGATGACAAGGATCTGAAGTTCCTCCTGAAAGGCAGCCAGCTGCTAAAAGTGAAGTCAAGCTCTTGGAGAAAGGAACGGTTTTATAAGCTCCAGGAGGACTGCAAAACCATATGGCAGGAATCAAAGAAGATGCTGAGGTCTCCAGAGTCACAGATCTGTAAGTAAAGTTTGCTTCATCACAGGCATGGGACATTGTGGGCAGAGGTGCTTGGGGTGAACCAGGACCATCATGCTTGCGGTGCGGAGGTAGGGCTTGGAGCAATGAAACCAGCTCCTTCACACCTCCAGTAACACACAAAGTGATGCTGTCAGCTCCGGAGACAGCTGGGAGGAATCTGCCGAGTCAGGAATGGCCACATTTCCCAAGCTTATGAGCTACCACTTAAAATTGTTGTGGGGTGGGCCACTCTGGGCTCCGCGGCCTTGCCTGGCTCGTGTCCTCCCCAAAGCAAGAATTCAGGTTACTCAGGTGTCCGAGCCATAATGCTCAGGTGTGAGGCATGGCTTGAGCTTGAGTATCTGCGGTGTGGTGCGGTGTGGTACGGTGCACTTGGGCTGTTGGGCTGAGCTCTGCCAGGACACCTCTTTTCTGCCTGAAGCCCCTGAGAAAGCTGGCATTTAAGCCTCACAAGGGAACCCCAGAGATGTGGAGATCCAAGGGCTGGAAGGAGATCTCTCTGGGAAGAAAAGCCTGTTCTCATCTTTATCTTGGAAACTCAGAATCTGCTCCATTGTAAAAAGTCCAGATATAACATTCAGCATTGTATGAACACAGGGAAATCCATTCTGTGCCAGCATCATCCAGCTTGGGGCCATAATTGGGACCAGAAGCCCAACTGTGCAGTCAAAATGGGATCAGGCATGTGTATCTGTTTATATCTGTTTTTTCTTCTCATTTGGTATTTTTCTGACATATTTCTCTGTCACTAATCATCATGGTCTTGTAAAGCCAGGAGGTAAATGAATAATGTGGAATATATTTGATGGCATGTTGAAATGTAGAATAAGCTGCCCACGTTATTTACACAATTTTTGGGGTAACAATCATAATTAACTAAATGAAGGGTGGGTCTTCACAATTACCCCCTCCCACAAGCAGTGATAAGATCTTCAGTAGGAGGAGTAAGGTAGCAGGACAAAATAGGTTTGGTTTATAACCCTGAGGACCACTCTTCTCACATGACCTTGGGCACCTTATTTAATCTCTTTGTACATCCTTCCCCACACATTTCCTTTCTCCTCTATCTAGCTCTAAAAGGCTTTTGATTTAGAGGCTGTCCCTTACTGTGTGATTGCATGCCCAGCATGGCAAGGTCCTGAGCTCAGCTGGGCTGTTAGGTACCAATGCAATAACCTGTGATAACAACAACAAACGCAGTGGCCTGAGTGAATGTTTGCCCCCTAGGAACGCCTGCTGTGTTGAGCTCTGTCCCATATAAAAGCAAAGTCTTTTCCCAGATAACGTCTTGCTATAAAACAAATAAGGACGTGAGTTGAGAAGAATGACTTTCAGAGCTTGCTTTCCTGGGCACTGAGCCAGCAGTTTCCAAGTTACAGGGGCTGAGAGCACCTCCAGCAACAGTTCTGAGCCCACCTGGTTCTCTGAAGTAAACGGGAGGCTCTCCTTGTGCTGTGGCTCCAGGGGCTTTGACATCTGCTTGGAGAAGCACTGGGCGAACCCATTGCCTCCATCGCTGGGGCCGTGGCATGGAGACCTCCCGCAACTTAACTTTTTTATATACTGAGCTGCAATAAGAGCCCTGTAGCGTGATCCAATCCTTTGAGCTGGGTGTTGGACGCAGGCTGGGAGTGTGTCAGCGTGGGTGTGGATTTACAGCACTCAGGATACACTTTGCTAACTGGGCACAACCAACGTTGCCACACTGCTGGACACAGAGGCAGTACCACTGCGGGAAGCAGAACTCACTGTGCCTTGGGAGTGTCCGCAGTGCAAAATGAAGATGGAGTAACAGCCACAACCTACTCACACCCACACGTATGCTCCATAATGCCTCTATGTATGCACACCTTTCCCCAGAGAAAGACTCTGGGATAGCAGTCGAGGCAGAGCTTGTCCTTGCTGCTCTGAAAAAGCAAGCTCTGGCAAGGCTCCGGCCGGGCTGGCTTTGCATCCGTACACCTGGCTGGCTGTGGGAACGTGCCCGATGCCAGGCTGGCCTGCCAAGCATGCCGGGGCAGGCTGTCCCCCACACGCTCGTGGGAGGATGTGAAGCTGTGCTGGCAGTTGTGGCACAAGCTTTTGGGAGGGTTGAGGGCCACCTCGGGGCTTCTTTCAACAGGTGCTCTGGGCACACCTGAACCTGGAAGTCAACAAGAGAGAAAAGTACAGGACTGACACTTGCCCAGTCCCTAGCCATAACCCCAAGGACATCCATGTTTCCATGCCTTTCTCCTTTGTTGGTCCCTTGAGACCTTCCATTCCCAAGTTTTCAGTGATGGCTGGGTTTCAGTTTCTTTCTTGAGCTTTTAACTTCGCTAGCTGCTTTGGGTTTAGGTATAAAGAGGATTACCCCTGGTTAGTGTTGTTTTCTCTGGCGGACTCTATCACTGTGGCTGCCTTCTCATTTGGTCTGGTGTGTGTAGGTGGTCAAAAAGCAGAGGAAGAGTGCAGGGTCATGATTTGATACTCAAAATCAGGGACTTCAAGGCGAGTATCTCCAGAGGGTCACCCTTCCTTGTTGACAGACAGTAACATTGCCTTTCAGTACAAAGCCTTTCTAAAACTGCAGATAAGCTGCCTTTTTTAGGAAGGAAAAAGAATGAGCAGCATGGAAACTGAGAGGTTTTAGCAGAAGGTCTAATCTTATCTGCAGCATTGCTGAGAGCAAGCAGATGGAGGCAGCTCAGAGGAGCAAAGTCTGGGTAGGGTAAGGGTTATGTTTAGTTTCCTGTTATTCCTGTTACCATTCTTACAATCATACAGAAAAGTTATTTGTAAACCGTTGTGTGGTGGTGTCTAGTAGATAAAACTGGGGACTGCCAATAGAAGAATATCAGATGCTTGAAATTAAAAAGCCCCAACATATCAGGGTTGTCACAGGCACAGATGTTGCCTGGATTGGATACGTGGCGTACAACAACTACCCTCCTCTGTTGTCTTTATTTTAAACAACTGGAAATTTAGATTGGACGTTGTCTTGGTAGCTGTATTACCCACAGGGCTTTTGGAGGATAGGCTGCCATTCCAATATGATGTCTTTGCAGGTAGAACCTAATCCGTTTTTTCCTTATTATCCATAATTCATTATTTTTCAGTATGTTCCATTTATGCCCAAGGGAACACGTTTTTTCTAAAAGCCCGTGAAGCACCTTAAGTGGCCAGTTTTCCAACAGACATGTTATGCCCTGTGCTTACTCTCTGGTCAGCTCCTGCAGAAACATCAGAGTGCTGGCCATGAGAGGCTGCACAAAAGCACCTTTAAAAATCCATTTTTCACCATAGCCTGCTACACCCTGTGTCTGAGCTGCATAGGGGCCCCGTAAACACACTGCTGCTCTCTGTTATCTTAAATGTCACGTAGAGCCATGGTCCGGGCGGATACTTTGGCCCATGAGGCTTTTACGTCTGGGACAGCTTTCTCCCTGGGGCTGAGAAAACAGTATTCAAGTGGTAGGATTAACAGTTTGGGGGCAAAGAAAAGGTTTGTGCAAGGGAGCTGGCAAACAGCCAGTTCAATCAGAGCCAGTTCACTCCTGAGCATCACTGTGGTGGGAGGCAGAGGGGCTTGTGCTGAAAGAGCAGAAGCCTGTCCGTAGCACTGTCTTGTTTAGCTGTGGTCAAATATCAGGTCTCATCTACATCAAAAAAAGAGCAAAAAGGCATGTGCAGCTTTCAATGAAATCGATTTTTGAAAGTCTTTCCTTAAACCAGCTGAAATCCCTAGCGTGAGCTCACTTAAGCCAGATTCAATCCCTTTAAAAACTCTCTGAACTGAGGATTTGTAGGGATGGTTGAAAACTTTCCAGTGAAACATCCTTTTGAGCATTTGGTGGAGAAACAGAATATTGAAAGCCAGAAGGAAAAGACTGAACGAGTCATTTAGATTTAGGGGTGCTTCAGTGGAGCCTCAGAGAAGCTGAGCTTTGCTGCCTCCTGCACCCTTTCTCTGCCGGAGGCTCGAGGAGATGACGTTTCCTCTGACAGCTGTGAAGGAGTTTCGCACACTGCATCAAGGATGACTCACTGGGGGTGCGTCGTTGAGTCACGAGCAGCGTAGTCAAGAAAGAAGTTTAGGAGTTTTGGCTGAAGTATTTCCATTTCTAGCCAAAAGCTTTACTTAAAACCTACTCTTGTTGAGGTTTTTTTTTTCTGTAGTTTGGTTAAAAAAAATCAGTTTTGGGAGAAATTTACAGAGGTGAGCTAAATTCGGTTGCATAACTGAAAGTTGCAAGTGATGATTGTATTATCATTTGAAGTAATAAAATTGATATTTTGATCTAATTATTAATTATCCTCACTATTAAAAATACACATAAATTCTTCCAGTTTCTCTCGCTTCCAGCCCAATGACAGGATATTTTTGCATGGTTTAAACATAGTGCAAAAGCTTTATGTTTATAGCCTACTACCAGTGGTCAGCAGAAAACTTTTTCCTTCATTTTTGAGTTCCTGTGAAATTTAGGAATGCCCTTAAAATGCCATGCGATGAACATACCATACGATTTTTGCGGAAGAATGAATGATTGTCTCCATTGAATTAATGCCCTGAACTTGCTTGCAGAAAAACAAGGGATGCGATATTGTTCTGTGCTGGCTCAAGTCAAGAAGTGAAAACTTTAAATTGCTCCTGATAAGTGCCTAAAGTCAACAGAAACTCTCAGCAACCTGTATGCACACAGCGGGCAATTGACTGCACCAACACCTTCCTTCTGGAGCTGGTTAGGCAGTTTCTTTAGGAATCATTGCTTCACGGTCAGACATGTCTTTGTCCCTGGAAAAATATTTGCTGATGTGAATGTGTTATGCAAGACAGCCATCAGCTGTGAAAACAAAACCTTCTGTCTGTGGGTCTCATTAGTTTTTATCAAAATCACTCAACCCATAAAACAAATCATTTCAAATGCAGAGCTGCCTGGTTTTTCGATTTAATTTTGAATCAGGCCACCGCATGCGTTGCTGGGACAATTTTCATCACA